ATAGAAGTTGATATCTAATTCGGGGCCAAAAAGGCGCTCATTGCGGCCATGTGCGCTAACGCGATTACAGTGGGGGCAATCAAAAAAAGGCACGTTTCTACCTTGACTTTCGAGGCGCTATAAGTTACACTTTATTGAATTCTGATCGGACCTTTTGCTACTATATTGAAGAGCACATTGAATACTATCATGATACTCCGCCACAGCCTTTGGACCACCGCCATCGAGAGATTCTGCCATGCAACCATGGTTCGGTGCCTGAGTTCAGCGAGATCGTTGATTTCTCCGCCACTGTAGACCACCCTATTGAACTCCGCCCGAACCAGGTAATTGAGGTTCAGGTCAGGTGACCCGCTTAGATATTCCATCTTCTTCAGGAACTCAACGCCCTTCCATTCCAAGTAGGCGAGAGTTTTTCCAACGCCCTTCAATTTCATGTGGTGTCAATCCTGTAGCAGTACAAAGTTTCCAAGAAGGTACGGGCGACGACATGTGGAGAGGATATTCTTCTCGAGTTGCTCGATGTAACCAGCGCTCACCTTCAGTCCGGGGCCCACGAAGAAAATATCGGTCTCTCCATTCCAGGTACGTCCGGTCCCCACCATCAACTGGCGCCTTGGCGACTGAGGTGAAGATGATGTCCTAGACCGTAGCGACGTTGACGGAGCTGCTCGATGATGGAGGTCTTCCAGATCGAGAGTACTGGTCTCCAGGTAGCTATCCATGGGTGACTCCATACTAGAAGTTTCGCAGCTGTTTGGAGGTGACATGAATTCCAAAGGTCTTCTCCAGTCAGGCTGCGACTGGAGATGACTTCATATTTTGGTGTACATGAAGGTGATGGGCGAGAGCCAGCTCCTGCTTATCGAGGAACATCTTGGGTATCTTCCGCCCTGGTACTCGTATCCACGTCCTCTGTCTGGGCTGCGAAAACTTTGCTGATATGTGACTCGGTCGAAATGTCTTTTTTTTTGCCCCCTGGGATAGGAGCTGATCAGGTGGTGAATCCCCTCCTCCACGCGGTGCCACTGGAAATTGCCCGCATCTGCGAGCCATGCTATTGCGAACATTCGAATGCCATGACAGGCCTTCGTGACAGGCTGGAATACGAACACATTCCATGTTGAGCTATTCCATATGAACTTCGATTTGATATTGCGGCCCCGGGAGCGACGGGAGTTCACAAGACTCGGCAAGTGTGGAGAGTGCGAGGGTCTCCAAGGGAGGGCGGTATCGAGGGGGGATGGCAAGTGAGGTAGCTCAAAAGTCAGGCAAGGTGTGAAAAATCCACGCGGCCATGTTAAATGTAGGAGTGACGAAGCGATCATGTGACTTGCCAAAAACACTAGAGCGCATTCGACGTCATTGCGGCACAGATATAAGTTGGTCAACAGGTCCATTCGCAAGCAAAGAGACATTGTCTAAGGCTTCAGAATACTTCTGTGTGGCAAACCAAAGATCACCGGCGGAGTGGCTGCAAGTACTCTCATCGTTTTCGCGATTTGATGGGAACCGTAGAATGCTTTGACGACCACTTTATGAAGATAACGCTGTTGAGCAGCGACTATACCACTTCTTTTCCTTGTATGACATTCGGAGATGCACCTCATTAGCTCATCCAGTGGAAACCCCAGAAGTGTTTTGGGGACTCATGTGAAAAGTTTCGAACAGAAGCAAAACCAACATGTGACCTGTAGCACACTTATCCACTACACCTTCGGCCGCGCCGCAAGCAGTTATTCTTCTCAACTTGTGCGAACAGAGCAGAGAATAAATGGCCGGTAATTCCCTTCAGAGTATCGTTTTGCAAATTCCGAGGGCAGGTTTGGATTAACGCAGATAACTTTGTCCTTCAGAGATCGCGACCGAGAGCTCGTAACAGAAGTGTACTTCTGCGCGACGATTGGGAGAGGTGATGCTTTCCACCGTCACGACTGTCGACGAGACCTGGAAAGCATCATGTATAGTAAAAGCGATACATTTTCCCTCTCGTTGCGGAACATGGCATCACAGAACCTGGAAGGAGTAGAATTGATAATCAGTTGTGGTTGTGTGCAGATAATGTCAAAGACGCGGTTTGAGGAAGGAAGAGAGCTACCAACGCGTTTCTTAACGACAACTCTGCTGATGACTGGGTGAAGAATGAAGAAGAGAAGAGTGTAGCGAAGAGCGTTGTGGCTGCTGCGTGAACGCACATTTTGGAATTGTCGCTGAGGAACTGAATTCACACGGCGGAGAGCGGCACCTTCACCGAGGTGCCAAGGCTCGGCATCGCCGCTTTGAAGATATACAAAAAATTTCATGGCATCAGCGATGAGCGTAGCCGTGTTTTAGTTTCATGGCATCAGCGATAAGCGATGGCACAACTTCCTTGGGAATATTATATCAGTGGAGTATACATCCCCAGCGCTAGCTTCCGTATCACCAGATAAGTTCGCTTGCAGATGATAACCATGAAAGAGACGGAAGCGGCTCTCAGAAAGATATAGTTAGGCAAAGCAATAGGGACTGACATTCCTACCAGCAGAATAGTGGAAATCACGGTGCTGGTACTCGGCATAGTGACTGAAGAACTTGTTCAATCGTCTCGTAGCTGAGGAGGAAAGGTGCAAAGGAGCACGTCGACCCGATATTGAAGCAAAAGGGAAGTTTTGCGGACTACTCGGGCTATCGTCCACCTTGCCTGCACTCACACAGAATCAAAATTTGGCTCGAATTCGTGATATCCAACTTTCCAAGCATCATTTTCTTTGACCAGTGTGGGCTTTGCGGCAGGCTGCAGCCACCGCCGCATCATATAGCTGTCCGTGTCTCTACATTTAGAGGCATTAAGAAAGCGAAAGCGACTACATCTAGCATTCTCCCAGAGAAGGCGCTTCGCCATATTTCGCGGAGTTATATATGGTTAGCCTTGTAAAATGCGGCGTCCCGGGAGTACTTACTGAGTGGGTGCGTAATCTATACTCCAGCTCGAACAGCCGTGCAGAAAGATCAACAAGCTTACTTCGGAGGAATCCCTGAGCACAGCTGGGGACATCAAGCTAGAATACCGCCTCTAATTTCTGTAAAATCGACATTTCATTGCTATAATTTCTGCATTGCCATACCTTCAGCACAAAACACACTTCCGAAATGATCTGAAAAAAATTACTAGACCAGTCGATAGCCGTGCTTATTGCAAATCCTTTGCACAGATTCTTACTAATATTTTCCTTACGTGTCTGAATCATATCTGATTTCCGAAAACCAACGAGCTGAGTCTCCAGTCACCTAAGGTGTTACATGTGGAATGGCCATGTCCTAAACCCTCCATTTAGACTATGATCTTGGATCAAAGTGTTAAAAAGACAGAATTACCATCATATTTGGAAACGCATGATTCCGTGATCATTTTGACATTAGCCAGCTCAAAGATCACTTCGAGTCCACTACTTCTTTACAGTCTAGCTTTCGAGGAAACCAGGGTAACGTTAGCCTATTAATAGGTGAAGGTAACCAACTACTACACAATAGTGAAATCGGCTTGGAACGTGACTGGTGCTGAACACGATCTTATTCAATTACCAGTCGTTGGCTACTTTACTAATTCGGTGAAAATAGTCAAACGAACGCCATTGTGGAATTTTGTGTTATTGCTTGATAGATGGTAATGAAGCTCGTCATGCTTCAGGGCAAGTTGCATGTTAGAAAAACTCTGAACCCGGTGAATCCACAATTCAGCCGTACAGTTTTGCAAAATAGCCGCAGGTTGCCATTATATTTGTAATAGATTTCATCGAGACATTAATGCACTCTGGTAACTGTTTCACGTTGATACGGCTCCCTTTGCCGGATACTTATCCATCGAGTCACTTGCCAACTGACCCCTCGCTATCGATCTTAATTGCCTTTGCTGGAGCTATTACGATCCTGCCACACGAGACAGCATGACACCAGCACTTGTAATGAGCGTGTACCAAATTTCTTTATTGTGTTTTGCCTCCTTAGTCCATAAACCACTTTCGTTTCGAATTTGAGATTTTCCCACACCAAATTCAAGACTTTGGTCAGAAAAGTTGATGAGTTTGAATTTGAAAATGGTTTGAAAAAGATTTTTCTCTGATTTTCAGGATAAAACACATCATCATGAGTCCTCATCAAGGAAGGAGCGCACTCGACCGCAATAAATACATGAAATTCGTGGTGAAATGTGACAAGCGTAGTTCCCCTCTAAAAGTATGAACAGAGTGCTATACTACTCTTTATTCAAATTACGACTTTTCATCCGAACATTTTGCTAATGCTACTCTATCGAGCGCAATCAATCGACCTCCTAAGCAGTTATCCCATCGAGGTGTCAAGGCATCGTACTGAACAGTCCCACGAATTTTAACTGCCATTGTGGTCTCTTCTGTCCTCTATCTGGCAGAGCAGATCCATGAGGACTGCCGTTGTGGAAATTTTTTTCACTTTTTCAAATTTCAGGTGTCATCAAAATTTTGAAAATTTTGATGAAAATCAAATGTTTTGGATTGCAAATCCCTCCATCATTGATTAATGTTTCTTCTCTTGGTAACTCTCTATGATCCGCAAGATTTTCAACTGAGTTCCTGTACGTGAAGGCAATAGAAATTATTCTTGAATTCGCGAATGCTAGGGAAAACATGGCTCCACACATTAGGCCTGTTGTGCTCGTGTGCTCCAAACTGAACCAGTGCTCGAGATCTATCGAAAAAGCTATATGTTCAAA